CCATGACTATATTTTCCTGCCATTTGAACTAAAAAACCAAGCGTTCCTATCAAGAAAAAATAAACAGCAAAGTAAATATCTTTAAGCCTTCCAAAGGAGACCCATGTTTTTTCTAGCCATAATGGCCAGTGATACATCTGCACAAGGTTCTTAAATACATGAACCTGATCAGCTGCCTCTCATAACCAGCTCAATAAACCCCCAATTCCCCAGTTATTTCTATAAATTCTCTGTGTTCTGTCTTGACATTGTTTCTAGTCTCAATGCACCAATGTGGGTTACTTTGGTCCATTGTTTTCCCAACTTCTAACATCTCCACACTCTAATCCACCATACACATCATGCCCCTCCTCACCCAAAAGCCTCAGTCATTCCTCAAGAACCAAATTAAGTTTAAACATCTCTACTAACTTATGAACTCCACATTCATGTTAACCTCATCTTTCTAGTTCTTTCTGCCACTCCCTCTTATAGTAGTAAATCATAGTCTCTGATGCCAGACAATCTCCAATCTTGGCCCTTCCTCTCACAAAGCATGTAACCTTGAGTAACTTGCTCAACTTCTGTAGCTTAGGTATCCTCATCTGTAAAATGGGAATAATTATCTTTTATATATGGATTTATTCTAATTATTAATTAGGTTAATAGATATGAAGGGCTTAAGAGATACCTGATATATATAATAAGTAGCCAATAAATGATAGCTTTTATAATTAATATTCATGTGCTCTAGAAAATTTCAGTAAGTGTCTCTTCCCACACAAATGATCCTTTTTTGCCATGATACTTTTATATATGCTATTTTCCTGGTCCTCAGTTCAAAAATCCTATCTATCCTTCAAGACCCATTTCAAGATATAGTTCTTGTATGGGCTCAGTCAGTCTTAGAGCAATGTATTTGCAGGTGTTACTCTGTGCCCGACACCCCAGGAATATAGTGAACTGTGAAGGCAGGGCCCTGTCCCAGAGGCACAATCTATGGAGAAGGGTATGCTGTCCCCTTCCTGAGTTAGTACACCCACGACGCAGGGACCATGTCTTCCTCAACTTGGCATTCTGACCAAGTCCTCCTGCAGAAACCTATGTTTACTACATGCCTGATTACATCTAAGTACATTTGGCATTGCTAATTTTATCAGAATTCAAAAAATATAAGTGCTTTCAACATATGGTATGTTGCCAAATAAAACCTCTATTTTTTTTAAATAGCTCTTAGTTAATAATTAATTTACATTATGTTTCTGACCTGCAGTGTTGTCTAGCACAGAGGTTGTTAGTCCTTGCAGAGAAGGGCATGAAAGGTTAGAATTGAATGTCTCTACTCTCTTCAAAAACTTGGAAGAAAGAAACGAAAGTCAGACATTCATGCTTTTACTCATCTACATAACTCTCATATTTTGCCTTTTTAAAACAGCTTTCTTGATATATAATCCACATACCATACACTTCACTCATTTAAAGTATACAAATTCCATGGTTTTTAGTATGTTTGCAAAGTTGTGCAACTGTCAGCATAATCGAGTGTACAACTTTTCATCACCCCTAAAAGAAATCCTGTGCTTATATTATAGCATTCACTACCATTCCCTCCCACCCCTCTAACCTCAGCCCCAGGCAACCATAACAGATACACCACCTTTCCTGGACATTTTATAGAAATGGAATGAAACAATATGTGGTCTTTTGTGACTGGCTTTTTTCACTTAGCACCATGTTTTCAAGGTACATTCATGTTATAAAATGTACTTTATTCAATTTATTGCCAAATAATATTCCATAGTATGGATATATAACATTTTGTTTATTCATCAGTTGATAGATATTTGAGTTGTTTCTGCTTCAGAGCTATTATGAATGATGCTGCTATGAATTTTCATGTCTATATTTTTGTGTGGACTTATGTTTTCATTTCTCATGGGTATATACACAAGAGTGGAATTGCTGAGCCATATGGTAACTGTATGCTTAACATTTTGAGGAATTGCCACTGTTTTCCAAGGTGGCTGCACCATTTTATATTCCCACAATGTATGAGGTCTCCAATTTTTCAACATCCTAGCCAATAATTTTTGTTTTTTGACTTTTCTATTATAGCTATTCTAGTAGGCATAAAGACACATCTTATTGTGGTTTTGATTTGAATTTTCTTGCTGGCTAATGATGTTGAGTTTTGTCATGTGCTTATTGGCCATTGTCTACCTTCTTTGGATAAATGCCTATTAATTAGGTTATTTTTGTTTTTATTATTGAGTTGAAAAGTTCTTTATATATTCTGAATACAAGTCTTATCAGATATATGACTTCTAAATATATAATCACATTTTGGGGGTTTTCTTTTCACTCTCTTGATGTCCTTTGAAACTCAGAAGCTTTTAATATTGATAAAATCCAATTTATCTATTTTTCTTATGTTGCTTGTGCTTTGGGTGTTATACCTAAGAAGGTTTTGCATAACCCAAGGTCACAAAGATGTTTTATATTAAGAGTTTTATATGAAACTCTTGTATTTAAGAGTTTCCTATGTTTTATATTAAGAGTTTTATAATTTTAGCTCTTACATTTAGGCCTATGATCCATTTTGAGTTATTTTTTTATGTGTGGTATTGTAAGGGGTCCAACTTCATTCTTTTGCATGTGAATATCTGGTTATTCAAGTACCATTTGTTAAAAAGACTATTTATTCCTCATTGAATTGTCTTGGTACTCTTGTTGATAATAAATTGACCAGAAACACAGGATTTAATTTATGTACTCAATTCTATTCTACTGACCTATATATATACATATCCCTATGCCAGTACCATACTTCCTTGATTATCATAGTTTTGTAGTAAATTTTGAAATCAGGAAGTATGTATCTTCCTACTTTGTTCTTTTTCAGAACTGTCTTGACTACTCTGGGTCCCTTGGACGACCATATGAATTTTAGGAAAGCCCTGTTAATTTGTGCAAGAAACTAGCTTTGGGTTTCATAGGATTGTTTTTAAATTGTACAGTATTTGGGGATTAATGTCATTTAAACAATATTAAATCTTCCAGTCCATGAATACAGAACGTCATTCCATTTACTTAGGTATAATTTAATTTATTTCAACAATGTTCTTAATTTTCAATGTATAACTTTTGTACCCTTTTGTTACATTTATTTTTAAGTATTTTATTATTTTGATCTAAGGTAAATGAAATTTTTTTTCTTTGAATTTTTAAAATTTTAATACAATTCAAATGAATGTGTGTGCTTATTTCATCTCTTTCACTGTCAAACTTGGGGGTAAGGAGTGCTTCCTCTTCTGTGCCTTCTCTTGATCTATGATGACCAAGTCTAAAGGTATGTGCTGCATTGAACATCAAACTTCACATTACTCTTATTTTTCTTAATCTTGACAGATTTGGCATTCTTTCACCTGGCTGTGAGCAGAAAGTCCTTGATTTCCTTAATTTTTCCAGACATAGCCACAAGGTGTGCAGGGAGAAGGTGAAGATGGGTACAGCAAGTAGTAAAAAGCAGGAAGCAAATTGTTTTCTTAATTTCATTTTTTATTCTTTATTGCTAGTATATAGAAATACAACTGATTTTTGTATAATGATCTTATACTCTGAAAACTTGTTCATTTATTAGACCTATTAGCTTTTTAGTTGATTCTGTAGGGCTTTGAAAATATGAGATCATGTCACCTACAAATAGAAAGAGTTTTATTTCCTTTCTATTCTAAATGCCTTTTATATCTTTTTCTCACCGAATTGCCCTGGCTAGAACCTTCAGTATTAATACAAAGATGAATAGAAGTGGGGAGGCTAGACATCCTTGACTTGTTCCTAATCTTAGAAACATGAAAACATCATCTTTCAACATTAAGTGTGATATTAGTAAGTTTTTCATAAATGGACTTTGCAGTTTGAAGAAGTTTCTTTCCATTCGTAGTTTATCAAGTGTTATAAAAGGGTCTTGGATTTTGTCAAATGCTTTTTTTAAAATTTGTCGAGAACACTGTATGAGTTTTGTCCTTTATTGATATGGTTTATCACATTGATTTTTCTCCTTCTTTAATTTTATTTTTATTGATACATAATAGATGTACATATTTTGGGGACACAAGCAATAATTTAATACATTCACATAATTTGTGAAGATCAAATCAGTGTAATTGGGATATCAATCACATCAAATATTTGTCTTTTCTTTATACTAAAAACATTCAAATGATTCTCTTCTAGCTATTTTCAAATAAACAATAGATTATTGTAAACTATAGTCACTCTACTAATCTATCAAACATTAATTAATTTTCGATAGCCTAATCTTGCTTTCCTGTGATAAATCTCACTTCACCTTGGTGTATAATCCTTTTACATGTTACTGGATTCAATTTGCTAGTATTTCATTGGGGATTTTTATCTATACTTATAAGAGATACTGGTCTGTAGTATTCTTGTAATAAACATCTTTATTTGTTTTTGGTATCAGTGTAATACTGGTCTCATAGCATGAGTTAGGAAACGATCTTTATCTTCTATTTTTTGAAACAGTTTGTGAAGAATTGATATTAATTCTCCCCTAATGATTTGGTGATATTTGTTTTTTTAAAATTTTTTTCTGTGTTTACATCTTAATAAATGCAACTCTAGTAGCAGGCCAATAAAGAGGAAATAAATGTCCATTATTTCATTTTATAACCCTGTGAGTTATAAAAGTTCCAGTTACAGGAAAAAAAAAAAAAAAGGTCCCTAATTAGTCCTTAAAAGTTTTCCAAGTTAAAATTTAAAAAGTGGAGGAATATTCATCTCCATGGAAACTGGTACTTCTATTCCCTCAGCTCTCTCCCCTCCGCCACCCTCGCGGTGCGGGGTCTGGGGCCAGGTGCGCGCTGATGGGACTGCTAGTTGGTAACGCCGGGTGACTGCGGCATCATCCCCGCTGCTGTCAGTGTCTGAAGGGGGAGGAGGTTGGGCCGGGAGGTTCTCCCGGGGCGGGGCAGAGGGGGAGGGAATGCAAAACAGAGCCTCGTCTCTGGAGCCCACGGAGCAGCAACGCCCCTCACTATAAATCCAGGGGTTCCTCCTTGCCGAGGATCCCCGCGCCTGACAGCCAGACCCCAGGCAGCAGCGAGCGACAGCGCGCCTGGGCGGGCGCGCGGCTGGCAGCTGTGCCCGGCCTCCCGCGGTCTTCGAGGAGCGGCGGGCGCGGCCCCGGGCGGTGAGGGCGCACGGCCGGGTCGCAGAGGCGGCGGGCGGGAGGGAGCCAACGCCAGCGCAGCGGGCTCCGGACACGACGTGGCCTGGGGACTGCGGGGGCGGAGGTGCTAAGTTTCGTGTCCCGCTGTCTTATCTGCTGGCTCTGCGCTAGGAGGTTTCCGGGGACCAAGGAGAAAGAGACCACCTCCGAGCTGGCTGCCCGTCCCCACATCAGGTGAGGGGCTTCAGGAATGGGGGCCGGGTGTGGGGAGGGGTCAGTGTGGGCTTGTTTGCCGCGTGCCCCGAACATTTCGTTCCGTTTTGACCCAACTCCTTTGAGTAGAAGTTAGAAGTCTATAGAAACGGGTTGCAACCAAGTAAACTTTCTTCTCCAGGCTTTTAGTTAACGCTTGTCTTTTAACCGTGACCTGAGCGGGAGGTCCGTATGACTCTGCCCAGCGTCCACTTAAAAGTTGTGCTACGTTTGAGGCAAAGCTAAGACTATCCCCAACCTCCCCTTCTGCTTCCCAGGCTATGTTCCTGAACCGGTCGTCTCCCCCAACTCCCCCTGAAAACCATACCGGTGGGTCCTGGACACTGGACACCACCCCCCTCTGGGCCAAACTTTCCCACCTCAGGTGTTCCAGGTGACCTGTGATTCATCACATTGGAAAGGGAGAAGCGGGGTGTCTCCACACCCCAATCTCCACAGCTGTGACCAGGGCACATTTGTATGTGCACTGAGGCAAGATTTTAGTAGGTCTTCTGCTTCCAAGACTGAACAGAGCCTCTTCCAGGTCCTGCTCCTGCACCCCACCTCCATCTAGCACTCATTCTCCAATTCTCTTAAAATGTCCAACTCAGGGTCTCCACAGTGCCAGCCTGCTTGTGGTCTCCAGAACACCTCAGCAAATCTTGCCCAAAGCATCTCCTTCTGCCCAGTTATCTTTGGGAAACCATTAGTTAGTGGCCTGGCTGTTGAGCCCATCTGGAGACTTTACCTTCGTTTGCTAATAGCCTCATTAAGTATTTAAAAAACCCACTGAGGCCCTCAGGAGCCTTATCTTGTCAGTGAAAGTTTAGATACTCACCTTCCCCTGGGACACATTTAGGACTTTTGGGACTTGGCAACATTTGTTTCTTGTGTCATTCTGAGAAGAGAAAGTAACAGAGAGGCAAGAGATCTGACATCCTACTGTTCTACCATTTTGTTGGGCAGCTTGTGTCTCCTCCTGAAGGTGCTTCACCCCCAACACGATCCTCTTGATAGTTACCTCCTGAGGGCCCTGGGCATATTCCCCTTAGCATAAGCTTTAACTCCCTTATAAGTCTTCTCTAGAAAATTGCCCTGCTTCCTTTGTCTTCTTTAGTGTTTCCTCAGCTATCAAGACCCCACCTGGATTATCTGTCCTCCGCCTGTGATGGATTCCCTGGGATTGCCTTGGTACCCTCCCCTTCCTCTCCACCACCCTTCCTGACAGTGCAGAAGCAGGGAGGCACAGAAGAAAGGGAATGGAGACTCCCACAAGTAACCGTGTGCTATTTGGAACATTATTTAACAACTCTGAACTTCGAGTTTCTGTTTATAAGGTCCCCTCCAGTGACAAAATTCTTTGATTCCTTGTGTTTCCTGGCTATTGCTTTTTTTAAAAGGCCAAAATGATTATCCTATTAGAAGATATTTACAGTTTTCAAAACTGTCTAACTCTCCTGTTAAATTATGTGCTCTGGACAAACATTAGGTTTTTCAGTGATTGCTCCAAGTGTTCATACCCTCCCTACCTTATGGTTGGCAGTTCCTATAAGCTGATTTAAGGCTCAGGGGTAGCCTTAAAGTTGTTAAGCCTCAACATTTGCCAAAGTTTCATGATTATTAGTTTCAAGTCTGTTATCTACTCTCTCTCCCTACTCTTTTTCCCCTGACTTCACTGTTCTTTGCTCCTATCATGAGACCTTGATTTCTGGTTCTACTCTTCTTTGACTTTAAACTGAATCAACTGTTCCAACATCCAACTTAGAAGAAAATCGGTTTTCTTTCATTGGTTCAACTGATGCCAATGGAAGACTTGTCTTCCATGAGATTTACAAAATGTCTTTCAGTCACTGTTGGCTGTGGCAGTGCTCACTGTCCTACGGTATTCTGAGCTTAAATCTTTCCTCTTCCTCCCTTATTCTGGGGAAATGTTCAAAAAAAAACCAGGATTTTTGTGGATTTTTCAAGATTTTTACTTTTCTTTTTCTTCTTTCTAGTTTGGGGTTGAAATTATGTGTTTATGTGTGTATGTAATTTTGTTTTTGTTTTTTCTCCTGCTGGTACTTATTACTGATGTTGCTGTTATGACTATGGCTAATTCACAGTAATGACTAATTTTCCCCTGTGCTAGAGGGAACATAAGGAATAAAAGTTTTATCTGCTACTTACCCAAAGCCCAGGTAAAATCCTTAGCTGAGAAGAAATTTGAAACTCATAGTTGCAGGTCTCCTATAGTTTTATCTGTGCTGCGACAGTACCCTTTCAAGCAGTATTTTGCTTTCAAATTTGTTACAAAGACAAAGATAGCGACTCTTCACATTTACATGTTTGGGCTGCTTAATGCAAACTCTTGCCTTCTAGCCCCATGTTTATTAGTTTACCTAGTCCTTTTCCTGCTCCGTCATGGCTGGAGAATGCCAAAGAGTCTCGCAAGCAGGCTAGCAAATTAAGAATTTTGTTTAGAAGTTTGAAGTCTAAGTGTTGTAAAGATTAAAAAGCTGTCTTGAAGATACACTGTGGCAATAAACAAATATGGAGCCAGAGCAACAAATATGAGGAAGTATCCAAGCCCAGTTTAGGAGCACTTTCCTCCCATGTTATCTGGCAAGCTGGACAGATCAGCTTTTAAAAACGCATCACCACTGGAAAGCGCTATTATTTTTCTTCAAAATCATTCTAAGCTTTCTCTTTCAAAATTGCCTAGTCATTGGATTACATGGTCTATATTTCTTTTCATGTAGGTGCGTATTTAAGCAGTATACTAAATCTCCAATAAACAAAAGTAAATATTGATTAATTTCTATCCTAAATTTAGCTATCACTTCACATTTTCTATTTTATTAAAATAATGAACTTTAGCTTCCAAAAATCAACTTTTTAATAGCTTAATATATAAAGCCATTTTAAATCAAGGAGTAGCTATAGAGAGTTAAGGTAATATTCAACTGATTTGACAAGTGACTACCGTTATCCTATTAGGGCTCTAAAATACACTGGATCATAGCAAAAAAAAAAAATAGGAATTATACATTTGCCAGATATTTCATTAGTTATTAATTTAATGACAAATTTGATAAGTGAAAACAGAAAGCAAAGTATATGCTTAGAATAGTCATAGAAATGACAAGTGCATGTTGTTACTGGCTGTAGTTGTATTAACACTAAAAGATTTGCTATCTGATTTTAATTCTATCTCTTCATAGCAGATGTTCTACATTTTCCAAAGTAGATAAGAGGAGCTTTGGTTAATATAGGATGAGAAAATATCTAAAGAAATTTAGCAAATGAGCAATCATAAGTTCTTTTAAAGAGTACACAATTATATGTGTATTTACTGATATTCTTACTCTGCAGGTAGCCATTCAGAGGACTTAAATCCATTGAATTAAATAAGATTTTAACATCATTTGGTGAAAATCAAGGAATCCTATGTGTATATAAAATGAACAAAAAATCACATAAAAATTGACTCAAACTGAAGGATTATTAATTCTATGATTTTGCATTTTAAGCACATCTAGAACCAGGTCTTGAAATAGAAAGGCACACTGCCAGTTATGAAAAACAAAGCATAGTCATTTCTTACCGATTTTCCAAACTTTTAAATGTTAGAAAAGTAACTGTATGTGAGACAAGCACCACAATTTAAAATATTCTTGGGTAGAGAAAAATAACTCTGACAATAACTGACAGATTCTAGACATTTATTTCTACTTAACACATTTAGAAGATATACCTATTGAGAAACCAAACCAAACAAAAACAAATGCAGATCATTCTAAATTCAGCCATAAGAATAATGTAAACTAAAGCAGTCACACTGCATTTACACTATATAATGAATTCTTTGTTACTAAAATATTTTGAAAGATAATTTTGCTTTTCATATGCAAGAGAATTTTTAGTCTTTGCTCTAGAAAGAGATTGACCAAGCTAAGCATATACTTAGATATGAGTCTCTAATAAGTCCCAGTGCCACTGGGGTAGGAAGTAGGAAGTCATTTTAAAACAGCCCCTCTTTCTGTCCTGCCCTGGTAGTATGTCTAAAGGGATCACATTGTTTGGTTCCAGCCACTTCTATAGTAACCACTGCTCCTTTCCCTTTCTCATGGGATTTTAACTCCCTTGATAGTATAGGCCACATTTAATGTATCCTTACTTTCTATTACTAAATGCTTCACAAAAGTCATTTGTTTCCCTGTTTGTAGTTTGTTTGCTTTTGGTTAAAAGTATGGAAAGTGTTAAATACATTTTCAGATCCCTATGTTTTAGAAGAGAATATTAGAGAAATCATTTTTTCTCATCTCGTTTAGGTGTATTATCCTGTTACGTACCATAAAATGATTTAAAGTAGTCTTGCTAATTGAGGGACTGAGCATTAATAACATTTTTTGACATAAGCAGCAATGGCCAGGGAATAGTAAGGAATAAAGAAAGGGAAAAAAAGGAATAAAAGTTGAAATATCAAACCACTGGTTCCTAAGGTGTTGGGAGGCAAGACAAGAATATTAGAATACCATGGGGAACATACTAAATCTGTTCATAGGTTGCTCACACCTTCTTTTGTGCCCCTTTCCTCATTCCTCCTTTTGAGACACATTATATTACAAATTAGGAGCAGCCATCCACAGCTAGCTCAGGTGTCACAGTCCACATACTAGCACCGTGGGTATTGCCCAGGAGTTTGTTAGCCATGCAAAATCTCAGACCTTACTTGAACACATTGCATGAGAATCTACATTTTAACAAGATCCCCAGGAGATTCAAATGGATATTAAATTAGAGAACCACAGTGTATAGCACTTATGGCTTGCTTAGAATGACTACCTAAAGGTTATCTTCTTGGCTTTTTAATAAACTAACATTTTTAATAATGCTAATATTTATTGAACACATATAATGTGCCAAACACAATGTTCATCCTTTCAATGGTGTTTTTTATTTAATTCTTACAACATCGTGGTGAGATAGTCACTGCTTTATTCCCCTTTTATAAATTGGGATGCTCAGTAATAACAAGATAAGTAGCTTACCCAAATGTGGTAACTGATACAGTTGAGAATTAAACACAAGAATTCTAATTCCACAGCCTGTGCTCTTAGCTGCTCTACACTAGGCTGCCTACTTTTTAGAGACAACTAATTATTTGAAAATTGATTTGAAGTTATAATTCTAAATCAAGTCTTATTTCCCTCATTAAAAAGAACAAGACTTATACCATTTTGCTTGTAACATTTGCCTTTACCACGATAATAAAAAATTCTAGATTTTCCCTCTTTTAGTTGTTGTGAAAAATACTAAAAATATGACAGCTTGTCCAAACTCATCAAAATATATATTTAAGGCCAGGTGTGGTGGCTCATACCTGTAATCCTAACACTCTGGGAGGCTGAGGCGGGAGGACTGCTTGAGCTCAGGAGTTCAAGAGCAGCCTTAGCAAAAGTAAGGCCCTGTCTCTACTAAAAATAGAAAAATTAGCCAGGCATCGTGGAGTGCACCTGTAGTCTCAGCTGCTCGGGAGGCTAAGCCCAGGAGTTTGAGGTTGCAGTGAGCTATGATGAAGCCACTATAGCACTCTACCCAGAGCAACAGAGTGAAACTCTGTCTCAGAAAATATATATTTAATATGTACAATTTTTGTATATCAATTATACCTCAATAAATATTCTTTTTAAAAAGTGACATACTTTTAAAAATTAACTTTTGATCTCTCTATTTTTCCCATATCTTATCTAAAATTCACTGTTTGCTTTTTAGTGTTCTTATGCTATAAAGTAAGTTTTCTCTTGAACAAGTTGTTCTCTACATACATGTAAACTGTTTAGCATTCCAACGTACTGCTTTTTCAGCTTTTAATAGAAATGCTTATTTAGCAGAATCAAACATGGTTTACAAAACTGTAGTCTAATGTAGTTACTAACCAGTCAGTCTCCAAGCAAATGGTGGCTTATTTTAAGCCAGTGACTGCTCAAATGATTTGGTCCTTGAACTATTTTTCCCAGTGCATGTAGATTCTCTTGACATCCGTCAGTTGAATCATGCTGAATATTTCTTGTTTTGCCCACTGATGCCAGTGAAAAGACAAGTGAGTCTGGGTTCCCGGTGACCGTGTTTGAGAGGAGAGGTGTGCCAACAGGACTGAGCAGCCAGTTTTCTCAGTGATGTTGGAACATTCCTAGGACACAGAATTTCTCCAACTGCTTGGATCTAGAACTTTAGATATTCAGGCAGCACAAACAAGACAGCGTCTAACTTTTAAGTTATGAGTTAGGGCAAAATCAACCCACGACTACCATCATGCCATGTAGTGGGGGGTGGGAAGGGGAAGTAGTACCAGATGGGGGAGATATCCTACACCCAGCAGGCAGTTTCTTAGTGCTAATAAGTGATAAAGTACCAATGATCATCCCCTATGGCCCTTTAGAGTCCCCTGGTTTCACTAAGCCCAAATATTTGTGACTGTGGCTGAATATAATCTGCACCAGTTTTTTTTTTAAATAGATTTTTAGAAATCTCACAATATTTTTCATAGTAAACTTCATATATTTACAATTTTATCAGCACATACACTTTTTTCACTTTTGACTCAAATTCCTGTCACCTGATCCAAATGCTTCTAAATTACATGGTGTGCCTCTAGAATAAGAATGTTCCATTAGCCCAGCTTTAATAACCTCTTTTTCTATTCTAATGATGTCACTTCACATAAAACGTTGTATCACTGTGTCTCCTAGCCCTTAATCTTTACACAGTTAATTGCTGCCACTTTATCAGAAATGAAAAAGAATTTGATTGTGATTCTTGTGTAGTGATTTCTTGACTATGTCCTGGCCTTTAGTTTACTGAGTTATCAGAATGGATTTTTGAGAGAGCACACATCTATTCCTACTCTTTTAAATTCCCATTAGATTAAGCCATAAGATAGGACATTATACAGTCATTATATATTTTACACAAATATATAATGTCACATATAACATATATATTTTATATGTTTAAATATATTTAATGGAAAGGAAAGGTAAGTGAAAAAATCAATGTTTAAAACATTAATCATAAGTATGATCCTGTATGTGTGTATGTGTATGGCAGATTCTTGTCAAGGTGCTAGTTAAGTCTGTCTTGGGTTATTGATATCTTAGTGAAAGTAATTTAGTTATGTAAGTGCTTCCTTGTGAGTACAGTCACTTATACATTTTTGAAATTCATGCATGTTCTTGGTGCAGATAAGAAGACCAGGAAAAATATACAACAAATCTTAAAATCTTTTGAGAGGTAAGACCAGGGATGATTTTTTTCTTCAATCTCTCTCTCTCTCTCTCTCTCTCTCTCTCTCTCTCTCTTGTTTCTATGTGATTTCAAAATTTTCTAAAATGGGTATTTTTTAAAAGTATAGTACCATAACATTTGTATAAGCTTTATACTAAAACAAAAGTAGAATCATTTAACAAAGTTTAACTGTAGATTTACAAGTAAAAGTCAAATCCATTATACTTCTTATTGGTAGTAACTGTGTCTACAGAAAGAAGCGTCTTAGAAGACTACACTAGTTTACCCCAAAAATATTCTTTTTGTCTTTCCCTGGTGTGTATCATCTACAAGGGGATTTGGGAAAATGCTGACATAAGCAGGAAGAGGATAAGATCCTGAGATGGCCACTTAAATACAATCTAATTTTATACAGGAAAAATAAGTTCTTGATATAGACGGGATGGTTTTATTCTCTGCAAAGACCAATCTTAAGATACAGTGTCAATGATTACTCTGTAAATTAAAAAAAAAAATCTGACCATGTTTAGTGAATCACTTTAATATTATTTTTCCAGGTTTGATATGTGATAAATTGGTCAAAAATGGCTGGGTTCTTGATCTGAATAAGTCACTGAAGCCATCTCAGAACGTCTGCACCAGGTAATTGTCTTACATCTACAGCACTGTGTCTGTCAGCAGTTTTCTCTAATGTGTTAACAGTGGGAATAACATGAGGAGTCACACATACACCATTGTCCTGTGAAAGCAGTAGAGGAAGTAGAAAAACAGGAAATTGCAGTTTTACCCCATCCCCTGAATTATACACACTAAGAGCATATGTACTTATGTGATTTGAAATGTAAATTGTCATAATCACCAAACTATTTCCATTCATATACTGATATAAACTATGTGAGAAATTTGCAACCCTTTGACAAGGATCCTCGTAGCTACAGGTGATTGCTCTGAGCAGTGTTCTTCTTGCTATGTAGGACTTAGGAGGACCAGAAGGGAAACGACTGTGCTCTCTCATCAGTCCCCTCGTGGGAGAATGGGGCTCTGTGATACCCCAGCACTCACTTCCAGGAGCCTTAAGAGCATAAATCTTAAAATTTGACCAGTGCACCTTCAGAAAACCCAAATGTCTAAAAGTCTCATGTTTACAAACTTCTGCCTTACTTCAGTGATCAGATAGAGGAAAAAGAGCAACATGAAATTGAAGATGGAGGGACTGTCCAAGGCCAGTGCAGCTAGCCCCTGGCAGGCATGAGTTGCATAGAGTCACACAACAGGGCATTAAATGCTCTCAGAACCTAATGAGGACAGCATCAGAGTTAGCCAGGACCGCTTTGGCTGTCTACCTCCTGTCACAGGGGCCCATGTGATATTTTTCATAAAAAGAGTCCTGGATTTAACTAACTAGTAGGGTTTTTTCTCTCCTAACAAAAACTTAGCTCAAAGAACAAACCAGCTTCCTTAGTCCCCTCTAGGGAAAAGGAAAAGAATAGCTCGTCCTCTTCTGAATATGTTGTGCTTCCATTTTATCAAAGGATTGGGGGGAGTAGGATAGGTAGGTGCTGGGTAAGTAGATAAATATTAGAGGTAGCTTTATCTTTCTTTGCTAGATTGGCAAGTAGGAACCATTTTCTGGAAGGCAGTGTACACTGGTGGTATTAGGAAACAGTTTAGGACTGCTTTAATCTTGAAGATGAAAATAGTAACATTCTACAGAGTTCTGTCACTGGATATCTTCAGGGATTTATTTGTTTGTTTGTTTGTTTTTTCCTGTTTTTTGAAAGGGAGTTAAACATGGAACTCTGGAATATACATGTTTTCGGCAAAAATCCAGTTCTGGAAACAGTGCATTAAAATACGTATTTTAGTTAGGACAATACAAAGACAGGACACTTTATTTTACATCTTAAGAGTGCTGAACAGAAGGAGCCTTCTCCATGATACCGTTAGCCCTACAGCAGAAATAGTAGGACGGATCATCTAGGGAGTTCCTGCTGAAAGTGATTCTTCTTGGAGCAGCCTCCTTTCTCCTGGATTTCAGAGTCTTCAGTTTCTATTAATAACAGTCACACATTTGTAGCAAAACTTCCAAGATAGCTATGATATTTTGCTTAGGGATAACAAAATATAGAAGAAAACAGTCTGTGAAATTTTAAACTTTTTCAAACTTTTACGTTTCAGATGAATAAGCAAAACATAATTCTAAGAAGTTCCTTTTTGTTTGTTAAAGCACTGATGCTATACCAATTCTACCACTAACTAGCAACTTTGCCCACAGTTTCCTGTAAAATAATCTCTCAGGCCCCATCCTGACCTGTGAGCACTATACTGAAATACAAAACAAAACAAAGTGTTTGCAGAAGGACCTTCTGAACTCTGTAGCATCCCTTTAAAACTTCTACCAACTTACAACTAGAGAACTCTGATCTCTTAATGATTTAAACCAGTGGTGTGTAAACAATATTGCACAGCTTTTTTTTTTATAGGACTAAAGCATTTATGCTGCAATCTACTTAGGATAAATAAGGAAAACCTGATTTGTACATTAAAAGACTATGTAAAGAACCATATTCGATGGCTTAAAATCTATAGACCTGAATCATCCAATATGGTAGCCATTACCACATATGGCTGTTTAAATTTACATCTAAATTAATTGCAGTTAAATAAGCCTAAAATTCACTTCCTTAGTTGTACTAGCCACATCTCAAGTGCTCAGTAGATGTATGTGGTCAGTGGACAGCACAGATATAGAACATTTCTATCATCATAGAAATACTATTGAACAGTATTGATATAAATGAATTTATTAATGCAGTGGACTTTTATTGCCACTCGATAAGAAATTTATGCTTTTTTACATTTGTTTGAAAAATTTTAAATATTTTTAAATTCCAGTTTTCTTAGTGTTAGCTTATCTGGTATATTGCTTTCACAGGTCCCTTTTGCTTTTTCCTACTTCTTTGCATATTAAAATATATGGGATTAAGTATTTTATGTACTCCTCCAAAGTTTGAGGTTCTTGCTGTCTTAAAAGTTGTAAAAAGAGGTATCCATGGTTATACTGCACTAAGGACTAAAATAATGGCTATTGACTTGGTGACCTGCATCACTGACATCTCCAGTAAGCAAAATTAGAAAAGATGTAAGATCATTTTTAAGAGCCAGTACTTTCTTCTTTATTCTTTACCTCTGTAAGGTTTTATGTAGTTTTTCGACAATGATAAATATGTCTCAATTGTATTAACTAAAGCTGATTTGCATTTTTAAGCAATTGGAGAGCCAAACAAAATGAGTACTAGAATACTTTATTTTTCTATGAAAATGTACATGATATGAGAAATCTCTCTAGTTATTTAAATTATACATATATCACAAATAAGAGTAGTTTGTTTTCATTTTAATTAATATAATCACCCCCTGTAATAGTACATACTTAAAGTTCTTAGTCACTATTTTCCACTAATATGATCCCATTACTAAAACCTCAGTCTCAATCACTTTTCCAGTCACTTATACTTAGTAGTTCATCTACATTTGGTTCCTAGTCTAATGGTTGTGTGTTATACAAGGTAAAAAAATAAAAGCAAATTTCTCTTTGAGAAAGCATCAGGGATTTGAAATAGCCATATAACTAGCTGTGAGAAAGAGGTATAAATATTCAGCCAATATTCCCTTCACTCATGTCACACATAGTATTAATGTCATTTTCAATGAAAGCATAAATAATAAAAGCTTGGACCTAGTTTGGAATTTTTGAATTTTTAAATATTAATCCCATAATCTTACCAATGGGGAAAAAATGGCATGGCAAATGCTAGCCATTTGTGTTTCCTTTTTAAATAAACAAAAATAGAGCTTGCTTTATAAGGTAAACAGGTTTGCTCCAAATAACCTATTCACATAGTTTATTTACAATAACTATTTCTTTGCTTAAATAATATTGCTAGATATGCTTAACATATACCTGAATATATAGTAAGTTATAATTCAAATTAGATTATTATTAATATTTTTAACAATTAAGAGAGCTCAGAGAATTAGCTTCTAAATTTAGATCCTCTGTTTTGCTGGCAGGAAAAACTTAGATAACATCAAAAGTGTCATCATTCTCTCCCTTCAACCTGTTTTTCCTTTTAAGACTCTTAAAAAGATTTAGATATATGAGTCATTTTTTAAAATTCCAGAAAAGTCTAGGGTATCTCAGAAATGTAATAATATAGTGAAGACCGGGTGGAAGATAATCATTTATCTGGAACCAAGTCTTTGATGCCTTTGTATAACAGAATTTGAACAAATGAGACTCACACAGAGAGGCATTGGACAACACGAATGATGTGATACTGCAAGTCCATAGTCCAGTCAAGAGCTGCTTCTTCCTCCTCTTATCCAGGCAAGGCCAAAATAAATCTGGACACAGGCCAGGCACCATAAAAAACAAACAACCACTGTAGATAAAAACTAAGCAGGGGGTAAAAGCTGTCTTTTGATCTATAGCCTCCACCTTGGCTCCTAGTGATGCTCCTGGGTCAAAGGGTAAAAATAAGATGGGCGTTTTGTGGTTTCCTAGTCCTTCCAGTGGGGTCAGTGTATGGAGCAGAGAGACAAAATAACTGTCTTCCTTAACAATGCAAAGCAAGAAATCCAACCTGCTTTGGCAAAGTGAAAGCAATACAAATTTGAGTCATTAATGATTGCAGCTTCTCATGTGATATGTAAGGTTATTATACGATAGTAATAGGCACACTATGTTTTATTCAACTCTAAACCAATAATGGATGCTAGTCTTCATTTCACATATAGCATGTTTATCTATACACAACTGAACTAATAGGGAATGTTGAAAGTGGTCCTGTGAATATTGGCTCATAATGCATCAGCTGAGTTTGGGACAATTGAAGTAGTAGGAAGCTCCCCTGGACTTCTAGAATTTAAATTTAATTAGATGGATGGATTAGACAAAATATGCTACCTGAATTAAGAGTGAGAAATATAATAAGCACCAATTAAGTAAAGGAAAATCAGATAATAAATGTGAATAAATTTCAAACTTTGAATTTATTTTAGATTCCTTAAGATAATGTGGTCAATTTACCAGAACTAATTTAACATCTTAAAATAAAGAGATCTGTGTAACCTATTTTATGATTTTATTTTCTTAGGAGGATGCTTTAATATCTTTAACTTTCATATTTAATCAATTTTTTTCTTTTGTAGTTTCTATGGTGTCACCATCTATCAATCCATATTGGCTGGAAAAAATATATAGATATATATGTCTCCCAAGAGGAAGTAATTTTGCAACCTTCTTCAGCAATTCAGTCTAACAATTAAGAACCCTTAAGCTAAATAGAAAAATTCATTTCACAGGAAACTTTTACTCAATATGTATAATTAGTTTTAGTTAACTTTATTAATGAAATGTCGCAAATCAATTAGGTTTGCAATAATCAGATGCTGAGGACCCAAGAGGAGCCATTCCTCTCACAAGAGGGGAAGGTGATATACAATTTAGTTGGGAATCAAATGTAATTAGATTTGATCAATTGAGTATTCCATCCTGACATAGTCAGGCAGATACCAAGCTTGAGTGTACAGATGGAAAAGAAGTGGAAAAAACAGTGTGACTTAGAAATGTCTTCCTG